ATTTTCTAGGGAAGGAGAGTAAGTTGGTTGAAAAAGGCCAAGAGTCGTTAAAGGGGAAGAGTCTGAACATCTTGAACTAACAAGGAGAATTTCCTTGAGGAGTGTGAAGGGCTTTGGGGCCTGGCTGGGGAAGGTTTGCCTGTCCATCCTTGCCCTTGGCTTTGGGGGCACACCCCGGTTCGGCCACGCTGCCGTGTCCCCAGAGCCCTGCCAGCGTGTCCCTTCTGTGTCACTCAGGGCTGTCCCATCCCGGGCTCTGGCTTTCCTGAAAGCATCCCCAGCACGGTGGGGATGGATCCCAGCCAGCCAGGAGCACATCTCCTCCTCGGGCTGTTCCTCACCCTGAAATCTGGGTCACATGGCAGCCGTGAAACGTGCTGACAAAACACCTCTGCCGTGACTTGTCTGAGAGGAAACGGAGCAAAAGATCTGCTCCTGTTCCTCTGCCCCTGCCCCTGCCTGCTGATCCAGCAAGAAGCACACACATCTCAGCAGGGAGGTGTGTGTCAGCTGGGCTGGCAGGGGACAGGGACACCGACCCTGCCACTCCCTCGGTTTCAAACCCCTCAGTTGTCACAGCTGTTAATGTGGGGACAGGTCACAGCTTTGTGCAGCTGGTCACGTCTCCATCTCTGTTTACACCATGCATTGATGCTCTTGCTCAGAATTTTAAAATTGTTAAAAAATTTATTTTCTTGGCTTTGCGTAAAAAATGTTTCAAGAAAAACCCCAGATAAAGAAATAGAAGTTTTTCACGTCCTGAGATGCTGTCACCAAAGTCACGCTCTGGACGTGTTCAGGTTGTCTGAATGCTCTGGAGCTGCTGTGGTGTGGAGCTTTGGGATAGATGGATTTCTGTGGTGGCAGTTCAGTGTTATTCCTGAGTGCCAAACTGAATGGAGAAATTGTTCAACACCAGAGATTTGGATTTTCTTGTCACTTATCTCTGCCTATTGTTCTTCACCATTGTTCTTATACCATCTTCAAGCTTTTCCTGTATCAGAAATCCCTAAACCCTGTAATTAGATGTGCCTCACCTAATTTTCCTTTTAATAGTTTGGGGGAAAACAGCAGTGTCATACGTGGTGGGAAATAAACCATCCCTAAGAGCAGATTCCGTGGAGGTGTGCTCTCAGTTTGAAATATGAGTCATTCACAGGAATTTCTTTCCTGTAAGTGCAGTGTACCTGGGCCTTGAAATAACAACAGTATTCTCAAGGCAGGGAGCCTGACACTTGGTGTGTGTGGACTCAGGAAAATGGAATTTATTGCAGCCATAGCTCCTTCAGCTGCTGCTTTTTAAGAGCTCCTACATTTTATTTTCCTGTCCCACAAATTATTGAGTGGATATTCCTTTTAGTCCTTCTTTGCCGTGTGATTCTCTCTTGAAGAACAAGGTTTTTACCTTTCCCCCCTGACTGTTTCTGGGTTTATGGTAAGTGTAGAAGTAATTGAGAGAGAAGGGGTTTTGGGAGCTGATTTCCCTGGCACAGTGGAGGTGGCAGTGCCAGCCCAGGCTCAGGTCCTTGGTCACCCGTCAGGGATGGCACGTGCTGGGGAAATCCAAATCCTGCAGCTCTGTGAAGGAAATTCTCCTACATGTTTAGACTTGGTTATTTTGGCTGCGTTAAGTTTTGTAGCCTGGTTCAGGAAAGAACCACGACTACAATTCAATAAAAACTCTCCTCCCAAGTGGATCCAGTGCTAGGAAAGCAAACTCCTCTCTCTGAGAGGATTGTAGGTACCTGTTGCTAAGTCCATTAGAGATATTTATAACCCCATGCTTGATACCTGGCATGTGCAGCGAGCCAAAGGAGTCCCTTGCAGGGCTGCACTGAGGAGCTGAGCATTTCCCTGCTGCATAAATGTGTACTCATCATTGACAAATATTAAATAGGTTCATCTTTTGTGACTGATACTTGTTTCAGTTGTAGAAAAATCAGGCAACTTATACTATAGCAAATTTGAAGTAATATTTTCATTCCCACATTGGAATTTCACTAGCGTCTGTCTCCATGTTTTACAGTTTTAATTCCTTTTTACACACATTTGTTTTGTGTGGTCAGTACAGCAGCGTGGCACAGGCCCAGGGCAGTGCCCATCCCCTGTGCTGGCACTGCTGGGCACCTCCAGTGCTGGGACAGCTCTGAGCCCCTCCTGACACCAGAGACCTGGAGGGGCTGGAGCGTGTCCAGGGCAGGGAACGGAGCCCCAGGAGAGACTGAGGGAGCTGGGAAGGGGCTCAGCCTGGAGAAAAGGAGGCTCAGGGGGCCCTTGTGGCTCTGCACAGCTCCTGACAGCAGGGGACAGCCGGGGGGTCGGGCTGGGAACAGGGAACAGGGACAGGAGGAGAGGGAGCAGCCTCAGGCTGGGCCAGGGGAGCCTCAGGGTGGATTTTGGGGAAGTTTCTTCACCGGGAGTTCTGCAGCCCTGGCACAGCTGCCCAGGCAGTGCTGGAGTGAGTCCCCATGCCTGGAGGGGTTAACAGCCCTGTGGATGTGGCACTTGGGGACACGGGCTGTGGGGGCCGTGCAGTGCCAGGGGTCGTGGTGCTCGGTGTTGTCAGTGCTCTCGTCCAGGCTCAGGGGTTCCGTGACACGCTGGCAGGTCACAGAGGTCACAGAGGCCAGCTGGGTGTGCCTGTTCCGTGTGCCATGGCCCACCTCGCTGCAGGCTGTGGCGCTTCTCCTGAGCTCAGGGCTGCAGCACAGTGCGTGCTGTGGCAGCAGAGCCTCCCGGGACTCCCTGCTGCCCTCCTGCTGCCCTTGGACCGTCCTGTCCAGCAGCATCACCCCCACGGGCTCTGTGACGTCCAGCTGTGTCACTGACACTCCGTTGCATTGCTCAGATGCCCACTGATTGGATGGTATAAAAATGAAGGAATTTCCCCCGTTATCTCCGTGAGCTGCTCAGGTCTCTGAGGAGGAAACAAGATCTGGAGTAAGTGTGGGAAAGAAATGAGGAGGGAGCAGGAGCAAGGCCACTGAGGTGCTGGAGCGTGTCCAGACAAGGGCAGCAGAGCTGGGGAGGGGTCTGAAACATAAATCCTGTGAGGAGCTTCTGAGGGAGCTGGGAGAGGGCTCAGCCTGGAGAAAAGGAGGCTCAGGAGAAACTTCTGGCTCTGCACAACTCCTGCCAGGAGGGGACAGCCAGGGGGGCAGGCTCTGCTCCCAGGGACAGGGACAGGAGGAGAGGGACAGCCCCAGGCTGGGCCAGGGCAGCTCAGGGTGGATATTAGGGAAAATTTCATCTTGGAAAGGGCTGGGGCAGGGCAGGGCTGGGGACCCTGTTGCTGGGGAGGTTTACCAGCCATGGGGACGTGGGGCAGTGGTGGCCTTGCAGTGCTGGGGACAGTTGGACTGAGCTGGGCACTGATGGAGGTGCTGAGCATGGACCTGTGGGAAATGACCCCCGTGTTTGCTGGCAGTTACAGTGAATATTCCATTAGTAATTCTGTGTGACACCGTGTTTCACCCTCAGCAGTACCCACAGAGCACTTTCCTTGCTAAGCCTGACAGCAGTGTCAGTACTTGGGTCATTCCTCGTCAGCTGCAGCACCTTTGTGTGGGACTGAGACTTACCTGGGAACAAACACGGCTGTGTAACAGGTTTTCAAAAACATTATCAGTATTTCCCTGTCTGTGACTCATCCAGTGCCACCGCTGCCTTTTCCTAAGCAACATACCTGTTGTGACATTACTTATATGTTAAATGTTGCAGAGTGTTTGTTCTGTCTCTGCAGCAATCAGATCCACACTAAATGGACTCCAGAAAGGCAACTTACATCTTAAATGCTATATTTATTCTGTCTATGCAGCTATCAGATCTACACTAAATGGACTCCAGAAAGGCAGGCACTGATTCCTGTAGTGATAAGCATACAATTTTCTTTAAAAACCTGGGGTTTGTCATGATTTCATCTAGGAAAGGCAAATTACTTTACCTTTATTTCCAGTATTTCTGTGCGTTGCACCTCAGATGGATTTCTTGCTACTTCATTTTTCCACTCCTGATCCATCATAACTGTGATTTTAGGCAGGTGTCCCCTTCAAACCAGCCCAGCTCCAGGCAGCTGCAGAGGGCACGTCCCCAACCCAGAGAACAGTGACATTGAGACTCGCTGTGACAATACCAGCAGCCCACTTGGAGGCTGGAGATAAATGGGATGCATTCCCTGGAATGGCTTTTTGCTCTGCTTTAACAGACACTGTCCTTGCATGAGTGTTCCCAAGGTCTGTGTGATTCCCAGACTCAGCTGTGCTGAAGCTCAGTTTGGGTTCCTTTGCAGAGCTGCTCTGTCCTCACCCACTCTGAGTGCACAGGCTCATGATTCCTTCTGGGAGCACTCGACAGCAATTTAGATTGGTGCCTCATCTCAAGTTTAATGTGGACACTTGCAGTGGAGTGTTTTGAGGAACAGAGAGAGGAAAGAACTTCCTGGGTCACAGAGTCCAGTCATTTGGGGCAGGAGACAACAGGCACCCTACAATCAATGCTTTCATCAGGGCAGGTGACACCCTGCTGGTTGACAGGGTGTGATTGTTCTCAGGCTGGACTTGGTGACCTGAGAGGTGCTTTCCACCCTAGACAGCTCTGTCACTCTGAGCAGGTCACGTCGGGGTTTCCAGCCCGCCCCAGCTGGAGGGCTGTGCCAGCTCAGTGGTGTGCCAGGGCTGTGCCAGGGCTGTGCCAGGGCTCAGTGATGTGCTGGGTGCTGTACCAGGGCTGTGCCAGCTCAGTGGTGTGCTGGGTGCTGTACCAGGGCTGTGCTGGGTGCTGTGCCAGGGCTGTGCCAGGCTCCCCAGTGTGCAGGGTGCCGTGCCCATGGCAGAGGCCATGCTGTGTTCCCCTGGCAGCGTGGTGCCCTCCCTGAGCACACAGCTCCGTGCTGCGCGCACCGTGTCCCGGAGCGCCGCCAGCCCCACGTCCCCCTTCAGATTCAGGAGCTGCAGCTTTGCCACGTTTCCCCGGTGAGGGATTGCTGCTTTTTCCCGTTGCAGCTTTCCATGTGGTACCCATGAAGATGAGGCTGAGGACACGGAAAGCTTCCCAGCAGTCCAACCAGCTCCACACGCAGCGGGCGCTGCGGGCCAAGCGGAAACACTCGGAGGTGGAGGAGCCCTTACCCGGCGGCGGGGGAAAACCACCCAAAAATGAGACAGGCCTCTTGTCTTCGATCAAAAAGTTCATTAAAGGAAGCACACCCAAGGTACGCCGCCGGCAGGCCCCTGCTTTGCTTTCAAGTGGGTCGTAATCGCCTCAGGTTTGATTGAAAAGCAGTTCTGTTAAGAATTAATCGTGTGGTGGGAGCAAAATGTAAAGAGTTGGAAGGCAACAGGTGCCTGTGAGTTGTGTCAGGTAAAGCAGACTTTGAAACCTTCAGGAGTCAATTGTAGGTGTATTTAACAGTCCAATAAATCACAGGCTTTATTGCCTGGTGTTTCTTTGTGAAAATGTCAAATAAATTCACTACATTCTTAATTTCTATTTTAAGAATTCCTTGGATCCAGATTCAAGGAATTACCAGTACTAACAACTTAGAAAAGCCAGTCTGTAAGCATTAATTTCTTGACTATTTCTGGCAATTTTATTCAAAATTGTTCAGGAGTCATTTAATCAATGAAGGTCAAACCTCACAAATCCAAGTGCCGTGGAATTGATGCAGCTGCTCAGGGATTCCTGCAGTGAGCACTTCCCTGCTTGGAGCATCATATCCAGGTTTTGTTGGGGAAAACCACGAAATCTCATGTCTTGCTGCAGCTAGAAAGCTGAGCTTTACTGATCTGCACACGGGAGCACCTGTTGCATGTGCTGCATGGACATTTGAGGGTGAAAAATATATATACACAAACACACACACACATATATATATAAAATATATAAATATATATATATAAGCTTCGATAGGCTGAATGTAACCTTGCAATTACTTCAAAAACTGGCTTTTTTTCTCTAGATGGAGGCCAGTTAAAAACCCCACATCATCCATCCCAGCGGTTCAGATACTGCCATTATGTAACTGCAGATTCGAAAGAAGAGTATCCAGGAAGTCAGAACTAATTTACAATGTATCCCAGATCAGCTCTGTGATAAATAAAAATCTGATAAAATTTCAACATTTTATCGACTTGTCGTAGGTGTTTTGGGGGAAAAGGGTAAGAAACCTGCCATAAACGTGTGCCTGCACATACAGCCATGCACAGAAGATGTGCAGAACTCTTTGGTTCTGTCTCATTCCATGAGTGCTGCAGTCACTTATTCCCAGGTAAGGAGAATCCTTGGATTTTTCACAGCTCAGTTTTGCCCTGTACTGATATGGATTGTCACGCTGGATATTGTTGGGCAGTTCACCTCCTGTGTATTTAGCAGGCAGAGAAATCAAGTTTCAGCTCATTTTAGTTGCTTTGTCTCTGCATTTCCCAGCCTCTGCAGCACTGGAATATTTAGATTGGCTGTAAAGACAATTTTTCTACTATAGCAGCTCCATGCACAGTTTTCATTCCCCATATTTTGACTTAGTTTAAACTCATGTAAGATCCCACTGGCCAGACCGTTGTTGCACGTTCTGCACCTGGAAGTGGAGCAGGAAAGGGATCTTTGGTGAACTTTGGTGAACTTTCTCCAGGATTCTCTGCTCTGTCCCACGGAAAAAGGCACTGCTCAGTACGTTTGCTTTTTCCCTCTTTTGTATTTTAAGGAAGAAAGAGAAAATCCCCCCAAGAGGAGTCGGATTGAGCGGGACATCGATAACAACTTGATCACCTCCACGCCCCAGACAGGAGAGAAGCCCAACAAGCAGCTCTCGCGCGTGCGGCGGAAAAGTCAGATGAATGGAGGTGGGTGAATGCCACGCTGTGCTCTGGGGGCAGGCAGCTCTGCCACCCCCAGCTGGGCACTGATCCGGGGCACCAGCAGCTTGCTGCAGCTCAGCTGATCGCAGCCAAACAGCATTTCCAGGGGTGAGCAACACTTCCACCCCCCCCAGAGGCTTCCACGGCGTCTCTGTGAGAACAGTTTGGGTCAGCAGCTGCTGCTTTGGGACTAATTTAACTTTTTTTGTGTTTTTAATTATTATTCGTAAAGTCCCGATATAATTTGATTTAGCTCTTCTGTTTTCTCACAGATAAGAGGGAGCATGACCTCCCAACTCCTGATGTTTGTGGTAGTGAGCAGGTATCATTAGATGCTGAGAGCTCTTGTCAGACCCAGACAGGTTTCTGTCAGGGTTGTGAGATGTGAGTTGTGGCATGAGAGATCACCCTCGTTACGTGTCAGATCTGGAAGGTGGATGTTCATTTAATTCTGTCCTGTGTTATCTGTGATCAGTCCTTTCCCTTCCGAGTGGCTGTGCCTCTGTGTGTGTGTGGAGAGGAACAAACTCCGGGCTCTGGAGCGGCTGGAGGCTCAGCCAGGCAGCTCTGACCCTTTCTCGTGCCTCCCTCTAGTGGAGTCCTGGCACTGGCAGCTCCGGGGCTGCCTCACCAAATCGCTGCCAGGATTTCCACCTCTGCTGTTGGTGGGAGCAGGGGCTGCTCCCCGTCTGGAGAGAAGCTTCTGAGGGTGTTGGGAATGGACATTTTGGGTTTATGCTGGTAGAAAGTTGCTGGCTCTCATGGACCCAGCTGAGCCGTGAACAAGAGGACACCCCTAGAGCACAAATGCTGGCCATAAAGGAGCAGAGGCACCTGAAGCCCAGCTGGGTGCTGTTAAAACTCATATTTTTTTCTTTTCCAGAAGCTGGAAGTTATGAGATGACAAACCAACACGTAAAGCAAAATGGAAAATTGGAAGATAACCCCACCACAGGCAGTCCCCCACGAACAACATTACTGGGAACCATATTTTCTCCTGTTTTCAATTTTTTTTCACCAGCAAATAAAAATGGTGAGTATTATTCAAAAAGCCGATAGTCTTAAAGCTGAGAGTGATGGAGTTTTGTATGAAATAGCTGCTTTGAGTGACGGTACACTTCTCATTCTGGTTTACAAACCAAGAGTTACTGCTGCCAGGCAGAAAGACTCCTTGATAGTTAATGAAAGAGGCTTACAAACATTGGAACATTTCTTTCATAAGTGTATTTAGTGGTTCACCTTTCATTAAAAAAGAAAATAAGGAGAGGGAAAAACAAAGGGAAGGGATTCTTTGTCCCAGACACATTTAGAAGTCATTGTCATGGTCTTCAGTTCAGTTCTTATTTTTGTGGCACGAATCCGTGCAGATATCTTTAATTATTCTGGGACTTGTGTGTGTGCTTGACAATGAGTGTGAGCACCGTGACGGAGCTCAGCCTGAGGGAAGGTGTTTGGAAATGTCCCTCAGGAACGTCGGGCTCCGACTCCCCGGGCCAGGCTGTGGAGGCCGAGGAGATCGTGAAGCAGCTGGACATGGAGCAGGTGGACGAGATCACCACGAGCACGGCCACCTCGGCCAACGGCGCCGCCTTCCCCGGGCAGCCCGTGCAGGGCAGGGCCGTCAACAACGGCCTGGGCGACCCCGAGGAGCCGGGGGACCGCGACCTGCCCCCGCTCACGGGTAAGGGACGGGGACACGGTCATCCCGGGGACAGCGCCTCGGGAGGGAGTCCTGTCCTGGGGTAAGGGACAGGGACAGGGACACAGTGATCCTGGGGACAGCGCCTCGGGAGGGAGTCCTGTCCTGGGGTAAGGGACAGGGACACGGTCATCCTGGGGACAGTGCCTCGGGAGGGAGTCCTGTCCTGGGGTAAGGGACAGGGACGGGGACACGGTGATCCCGGGGACAGTGCCTCGGGAGGGAGTCCTGTCCTGGGGTAAGGGACAGGGACAGGGACACGGTGATCCCGGGGACAGCGCCTCGGGAGGGAGTCCTGTCCCACCTGTCCTTGGGTGAGGGACGGGGACAGGGACAGGGTGATCCCGGGGACAGCGCCTCGGGAGGGGCTCCTGTCCTGGGGTAAGGGACAGGGACAGGGACACAGGGACAGGGTGATCCCGGGGACAGCGCCTTGGGAGGAGCTCGTGTCCTGGGGTAAGGGACAGGGACAGGGACACAGTCATCCTGGGGACAGCGCCTCGGGAGGGACCCCTGTCCTGGGGTAAGGGACAGGGACAGGGTGATCCTGGGGACAGCGCCTCGGCAGAGACTCCTGTGCCACCTGTCCTTGGGTGAGGGACAGGGACAGCAGACTGTGCCACAGGACAGGGACAGGGTGATCCTGGGGACAGCGCCTCGGCAGAGACTCCTGTGCCACCTGTCCTTGGGTGAGGGATGGGACAGGGACAGGGACTGTGCAGGGAAAGGCTGATCCCAGGGAATCCAGCACCTCAGCGGGGACTCCTGTCCCATCTTCCCTTGGGTAAGGGACAGGGACTGTGCCGTGGGGGACAGGGACAGGGTGATCCCAGGGAATGCAGCACCTCGGCAGGGACTCCTGTCCCATCTTCCCTTGGGGCATGCAAACAGTGTTAACACTGATTTTTATGGTTGGTAGGCAAATCTGGTTTAGGCACCAAAGACACAGTTTTGGCAGGATTTTCCTGTTCCTGGTGTAACTCCGATGGCCTCATAACTCTTCTTCCCATGGAAGCAGAGATTCCAGAGGAAAGGAATTACTATTAACACTAAAATTTCACACTCTGGACTTGCTGATCTCCAAAGAGAAATTGGCTACATTTTGATGTCTTCTATTAGAAGCACTTGGTAAATGAGAAACACACAGATCCTGCATTCATTTTCCGTATTTTCTTCAGAAGACAACATCTGTTTTTGACAACAATTCAGCTTCTGTGTGCATGGGCAGCATCAAACCCTGAGCTGAACCCTGCTCTGGGAGAGGAGCAGCCTTGCAGTAGGGGTGAATGTGACCCTGGGCAGGGGAGGTGGGGCTGGGGGAGACTTTGCCCCTGTTTCCCTGCCTCGTGTCTCGAGTGCAAATTGTCACTTTACAGAACTGCACTAATAAGACCAGCTCTTGTGGTTTTTTGTTTTATTTTTTGTTTTGGTCATTTTCGTTGAATTTCAGCACCAGTATCTCCAGACAGTGGCTACTCATCAGCTCATGCAGAAGCCACCTATGAAGAGGACTGGGAAGTCTTTGATCCGTAAGTGCCAGTGTTTCTGCTGGAAATAGTAAATTAATCATGTGGGATATTGAATTAAGATGCTTCTGTTTAAATTGGATCATTTTCATGTTATGGTAATGAACTCCAAAAACTTTGAGCTTAAAGAAAAACCATGTATGCTCATGTGGGGTTTATTTCAATTTAAAGTACTTATTTCTGGTGATTTAAATATTTCAAATATTAAGTTGGGTTACAGCATTGCAGTTCAATAGTTTACATTTTTACAGCAAAATCTGTATTCTTTTCAGATACTATTTCATCAAACATGTCCCCCCACTAACAGAAGAGCAGCTGAACAGGAAGCCAGCTCTCCCACTGAAAACCAGAAGCACACCAGAGTTCTCATTAGTTCTAGACTTGGTAAATATCTTTATAAACACAAACCAGAGCAGGGGAATGGAGCATTTTCCTTATTTTGTTCGTTGTGGAAATCAGTTGTGCTTGCTTTAAACAAAGACTGCTGAGTGTTGCATAATTTTAGTTAAAAATAGTTGAAAAAGAATTAATTGTGGTAGGAATAGAATGTGAGCTGCGTTTGTCAAATACTTAACATCCTGCTTTAAAAAAAAAAAGGCATTACAGTTTTAACATGTTGAACATTTTTCTGTCCCCATAAAGCTTCCCTAAATCCAGGGTGGGAAAAATGAGGTGGAATAAATAGGAAGATTCAGTTACGAGTGTCTTTCATCAAGATTGATGAAAAATTAAAACTTTTACTTTTTAGAACATTCTTAAAGGGCACAAATGCACTTTTTGAAAAGTTCTATGTTTGTCTTTATGGTGGTTTGTTTCAGTGTCTCTGTTTTGAAAGCTGTTTCAGACCCTGTTAATGGTGGTGGGGTTTTTTGAGCAGCACCAGCTGGGCCATCCCTGTGATCATGGGAATGGGTGGATTGTTCACACTGAAAGATACAGCCTGGAACTGAATGAGAGAAGAGCCTACAGAATAAAATATCTCCTTGTAACTACAGCCCCAGCACACAGTTTACTGAAAATTCTAAAAGATTACAAGAATAATGAAATGTTTAATTCATCCTAAGAATTTTCTTCGATCTTGACAGCACTTGCACAAAAGTACAGTTTCCATTCCAAATCAACCTGCTTCAAAATAAACATAAAATGCAGAAAACTACTTCTGTTTTCCACATTGTTTTTTCACACTCTTTTCTCTCTTTTATGTAACTGTTTCTCTAGGATGAAACATTAGTGCACTGTAGTCTAAATGAATTAGAAGATGCTGCACTCACTTTTCCAGTTCTTTTTCAAGATGTCATTTACCAGGTAAATAGAGAAACACAAACTTGGGTTTTGTTTTGTGGGATTCCTTGCTGTGTGCAGTTGTTCTCAGCTTGTTTGAAGAGGGAGAAGCAGCAGCCTGGCACTTTATACCTATCTGGTGGTAGGGTGCTGCCCCTGGAGGGAGGGTGCAGGCTGGTGCAGCCCCTCTCTGGGTGCTGCCCCTTGGCTGAAGCCCCTCTCTGTGAGGCCCTGACCCTGGAGGGAGGGTGCAGGCTGGTGCGGCCCCTCGCTGGTGCAGCCCCTCTGTGGGTGCTGCCCCTTGCTGAAGCCCCTCTCTGTGCAGGTGTACGTCCGGCTAAGGCCGTTCTTCCGAGAGTTCCTGGAGCGCATGTCTCAGATCTACGAGGTAAAACCTGCACGCCCCAGTTCTCCCTTTTTTGCTTTTCAGCTGTCACACCCTTTTTCCTCACACTAAACACCGATTTGTCGGATTAAACCCTTTTCTAACCCAAAAATAAAACAACTAAAAAAATCTTTAAAACTTTTATTCTGTTCTCAATCTCATATAAAAAGTAAAATAATGCAGATGTTATAATTCACACCATTACAATCACAAACTATTTCCTAATTACAATAACTTTAAACATTTCTTAACCTATCGACTTTAACCATACCATACTATAAATACCTTAAAACCAATCATCTAAAATTACCCCTCATAAATCTTACTACAATACATCTTTCGTAATTCTATTTCTCCAAAATATCTGATCTTATTTACAAAACCACCTTTTAAAACTTATGTCTAATTCCATTTCTCTCTCAACAATATCTATCCTATTCCATAACGTTTCTAAGCCAGCATTTCTTATCTCAAAGTTTACATACAAATACACACTATAAGAACCTTCTATCAAACTTTAAAATTTTTCTATAAATTCATTTCCCACTACCACCTTTGAATTTAATTTTTAAATTGTATCCACTTCCTTGTACCTCCAGTGGTGACTTTTTTCCCCTCCAATCCCCAGATCATTCTGTTTACTGCTTCTAAGAAGGTGTATGCAGACAAGTTGTTGAACATCCTGGACCCCAAAAAGCAGCTGGTCAGGTAAAAGCAGAGCAGTGGCGTGAGCAAACCGAGTCCCGTGCCTGCCCAGTGGGCTGGGACGTGTTCCTTGCTGCAGTGTCTCCCTGACTGATCCCTTGGGGGTTTGCCTGGGCTAGGAGAGGGACAAAAATGGACTGAAGTGATGGAATTGGTGCCTTGTGATTAAATAACCCCAGGGGAAAACCTGTCTCTGATCAGTCTCTGTGAGCTTGGCTCATGGGAAATGACCTCTTGGGGATCAAAGATGTGCTCTGGAATACCCACTGCAAATAAAGGAAATTAAATGAGTGCCTGATTACTTTTAAACTTAACTTAATAACTTGAGCTATTTATTACAAATTGTGGCTTGTATAGCTTTTGCAATCAGCATGCTTTTAATTCTCATTCAATCACAAAGTCATTTGTCTGTTGGTTTTGTAGTGGAGCTGGTTTGGGTTTTCATTTCTCAGTACTGAGCTTTGTTGGGAAGTGTTTGGCTTTCCCAGTTCCTTAGGGCAAAAGGAAATCCCGGGGGTGAGACTCTGTCACTCTCAGCTGGCAGGGGACTGTACCTGGCAGTGCTGGCCCCAGTTGCTTTCTGCTCGGGGCTTTTCCCTGTGTGGGGTGTCCAGCCCTCCCTGGGGGTGCCAGAGGATGCTGCCCAGGAGGGCACTGGCACCGCAGGGCAGGGTGTGGGGCTGTGCCCGTGTGTCACACCTCCTGCAGACCCTGATCCAGGGCAGGGCTGTGATTGCCCCTGGGGCAGGGCACGGGCAGCAGCGGGCTCTGGGAGCCTGCAGAGGTGTCCTGTGCTCCTGGGCTGCCTGGGCCCAGCTCTGCCACCAGCCCCAGGTGCCTGCCAGGCCCCACACGTGTGACTCACACTCTATATATAAATGCAGCAGCTCATTTCCCTCCATGGCAACGTGGGGAGCTCAGCTCCTGCATGGAATTAGGCACACTCTGTGCAGCTCTGAGCACTCATTCCAACACACAGGCAGCCTGAAGGGGCTGCTCTGCAGTGGGGCTGGCCAGCACCAGATCTGCCTGCTTCACAATTCATAGTTCCGTGGATATGCCGTGGAATGGGAGTTTTATTCCTGCTGGGTTTTCAATCTGAGTCCTTTCAGTCAATCCCTCCATTCCTTCTGACATGAATTACACAGGAGCAGGCTGATGGCAAAGGAAGGAGGTGATGGGATGTTTTGGCCCTAATGGCAAAGGAAAGAGGTGATGGGATGTTTTGGCCCTAATGGCAAAGGAAGGAGGTGATGGGATGTTTTGGCCCTAATGGCAAAGGAAAGAGGTGATGGGATGTTTTGGCCCCGAGGCTTTTTTTTTGAGGTGTAATGACTGGAATAGGTTAACTGCCAGCAGAGGTGTGCAGCAGGAAAGGAATCATTCCTTGTGACACTTTGTGTTCTGTGAGGTGGCACAGGGAGGCCCCGTTCTGTGAGGGCTGGGACAGAATAAAGGGATAATAAACCCCAAAAACTTGGCTCTGTGCAGCACCTGGAGCTTGCAGATCCTTGGGGTGTTCTTGGGTCCTTTTGTTGGCCTGTCTGGGAACGGGGTCAGAAGGATGAGCCTGGATAAATACAAACACCCACCCCAGAAGTGGGTTAGTGCAAAGTCACCTGAACTGGGCATTTTGCCAGTAAAAAGCTCTAAAGAGAACAGAAAAATGCCCCAGTTCTCCAACAGGAGATGGGAAAACAACTGGATAATGCTTGCAAAGCTGCGTGTTGCTGGTGCAGTGTGGATGTAGTCCTTGGCCTCAGTCACGAGTATTGTCCTTTACTGACAGGCATCGACTCTTCCGCGAGCACTGTGTGTGTGTACAAGGGAATTACATCAAGGACTTAAACATCCTGGGCAGAGACCTCTCCAAAACCATCATCATTGACAATTCACCGCAAGCCTTTGCTTACCAGGTGAGGGGCTGGGGCAGGGGACACCTCAGGGGGCAGAGCTTCCTGAGGGGGACAGGGAAATGTGAGTTGGGGGCTTGCTATTGAAGTCTGCAAACCAAGCTGTGGGAAAAACACTCAGGAATCTGTGCCTTGGAAACATTTTTCCCTCAAATGCTATTTCACAAGTCTTATTTGTAGATAAATTAAATATAAATTGTGTGTTGATGATTTTTTTTTTTTTTCGTATTTTAACTTCGGCTTTCCAATGGAATTCCTATAGAAAGCTGGTTCATGGATAAAAATGATAATGAACTCCTAAAGTTGATTCCATTTCTGGAGAAACTAGTAGAGCTGGTAAGTGTTTGCTTTCTTGGCTTTTCCCAGAAGTGTCAGTGAGTTCCTTTAATATTTTCACCTATTGTTAAGGGTATTTGAGTCACTGGGGTTGAGGCTGGTGAAGATCCAGGGACGTGTTCACACAGCAAAAGGGGGCTTGTCACTGCTGACTGTGCTGAACGTGCAGGGCTGTGACTTCAGTCGTCGGGAAATGGGGAACCCCTGAGCACTTTGGTGCCCCAGTGCTGTCGCTGGCTGTGCTGTGTGTCTGTGTTCCTGCAAGGCCAGGAAATCGCTCCTGAACTCCTGTGGGTTATTTCTCTGTTATTTCTATACTCGGTGCAGTTATTTCTGCGAGTCCCCAGGATGGCACAGTCCCGGTTTCTGTTTGTTCTGTTCAGAGAGGGGTGTCAGGCGAGGAGCCTGCTGCAGGGGCTTCTGGCTGTGTTCATTCTCCTAAACCTGCCCTTTCCCCACAGAACGAAGACGTCCGACCTCACATCAGAGACAGATTTCGCTTGCATGACTTGCTACCCCCCGATTAAAGCCTTTTCTCTCGCTGCCGAGGGGAGGAAATGCAGGACCCTGTTGGACTAATACAAAACATTGCCATTACTGTTGAAATTTTGCATTTTTGTACCCCGTCTTGCTTTTCTTATCTTTGGTGCCCAACAATGATCAAGGGTTACAGAAAGAGACTTTCTACACCCGAGGTTGCCGCCATCAGTACAATCCAGTACCCGCAGTAGGGAGGCTAGAACAGAAAAGTCTTTAGAACTAGTGCAACTCCAAGGAAATTTTTTATGTACAGGACATCTGCAGTTTATAAAGAAAATTCTGTTTCTGCCACCAGCAGTTTGACCTGTAGAAACACAGGATTTTATGATACAACAGAGATTGAAAACGGACTCGGATTTTCTCTCTGTTCGGTGCTCTAAGTGGGTTTGTAGCCACTTTTCTGTTACTTTTAAGATTCTCATTTCAACAGGAATGGCCAGTAAAAGTTGTTTTATTTTTCCTGTTAAGGTTTATAACCTTTTTACATTTTTGACCTGTATTAGATTAGAATTTCATTATGCATTCCTTTTAGTTGAGGCGCTTCATAGTTTTTCTGGAAATAGCCAAATTTTGTTAGTTTTTTATTAAACAGTTGGCTGGCCGTTTCCCTGCTTTGTCTGCCTGCATCCTGTATATTTGTTTAAAAATATTCTCTAGTTTTAGCCCACGTAAGTTTCATTTAGAAAGAAAAAAAAAAAAAAAAAAAAAGAAACCCCACATTTATATTTTCTTTCTGTAATATTCTACTGTAGTCGAAACCTTTTCAAAAATCAAGAGACTGGCTAGATAAGACGAAGATAAGAATGACTAATATTGGGAATATCCTAAAGCATTGCGACGGCACGTCCTCTGGACAGAGCACACCCGGCAGTGGCACCACGATGGACAAGGAATACCTCACCTGTGCCGTGCCAGCCCCGGGCAGGACAGGACGGGCTGCCCGCCTGGGACACTCCTGCTCCCGATCCGCCTCTCGGGCACGCCTGCCCTGCCACCCCGCTGCTTCCCGAGCCAACAGCCCGGCCCTGGCTCCTCGTGCAGCGCCCCGGAGGGGATGCTTCTACAGCGGTGGGAGCCGCCTTTCCATGAGGCTTTTTCTGGAAGGTAGGATTCGTACGAGTTAGGAAGCTTTGCCTCTCGACTGCATTACCACGCCACAGGCTCGGACTGGTTTTGTGTAAAAGATGTCACAGAACGGCACTTTTTCTAAAGAGAAGTTTGCTATTTTGTATGCTTGATAAGAAAGTACAGTATTGGAAATTAAAGGTGGACAGCTGATAATTGAGAAGTATGTCAATTAATTTTTTATGTATATTACCTGTTTACTTGTACAATTTTATTGTACAAATTACATGCAGCTTCATTTTCAAATGAGTCCTTAAAATAAGGAAAATCTTTTTAGCAAAACATTTAATTTTTGTATTTTTGATTTTAAAAGGCATGAGTTATGTCAACTTTTTCCAGTGTATTAATGAAGATTTTAACTTTTCATCAGGTTGAGTGTTTTCTTACTATATTATCTGTTGTGTATGTAGCTAGCACATGGTGTCACTGAACTGTTAAAACTTAGCATGTAGAGCAAGCCTGTTTTGTGGAAAACCCTTATTCATTAAAAACAAAATCATCGTGGCAGATTTTCTGCAAAAAAAACTGAAAACATTTGCAATTCAGAATACTGATTTTTTTTGTATTTAAAGAAAGGTATTTTGCTTGCAGGAAAGAAATACTACAGATTCATTTTAATGAGAATCTTTTAAATGTATTTATCTTTAGGGCATCTGGGCATCTTTACGCTGTTTGTCTTATGTCTTTATTGAAATAAAATGTACAGAACATTACCTTTACATCTGCTTGGTGCAGCCGTGTCCCCTGGGCAGCTGATGGAGAGATGGATGGATGGACTCTGGCAGGGAGGGGCAGCCTGTGTGCAGCTGCCCCTACTCTGCAGCCGTCTCTCCCTCGTTCCTTGCCGTGTAAATCTGAATCTGAGGGGTTTCAGCTCCCTGCTGAAGCTTTGCCTCACGGGGGATCCCTCCCAGTTTCTCCACGTCACAGAGCTGCTGTAAAAGCCCCGGATCTGCCAGAAGGAGCCCAGCTTTAGCTCGTGGCCTTTTCCAGCTGTGACGGGATGTTCGCCTGTTCCAGCAGCATCCCCGCGTCCTCTGTGGCTCCAGCCTTTCCAAAAGTGCTTCCAGAGCTGAGGAAACCAAAGGCATGTTGCACTTTCCAGCTGTGTCCGTGTTGTGCCCGTCAGATCCGCGAGGGAAGCCCGATGGCAAAGGAGGGGATGTAGTTCTGCATCGCTGCACGACGGCACCGACAGAGGTTCTTAGTAAACACATCAAATATTCATATTTTCCTGTGCCGCACGCCTGGCGTTTATCACTGAACTCTGCAGAGTGCTTCTGCCTCCTGCCAACCTTTCTGGTGTGAAGCAGGGTTCTCATCCGCAGGTTTTGTCTCTGTGATCATCTCGAGGGGGAGTTCCCTGTTCCTGTGCCGAGCTCTGGGTCGGGTTGTGTCCCCAAAACCCCCCTGAGCCCGGGAGGCTCAGCCAGCTGTGAGCGTGGCTTGTGCCCCCCGAGCAGGGCGCCGTGCAGCTGGATCTCTGATTCCTCATGGAATACGGTTTTGTCCTTGTGGAAAGCACCACATCCTGTTCGCAGAGTTCTGAACGATTCCTGTGTGGTCCGTGCTGGGTTGTGGTGGCCTGTTTTCCGTGTCCCCCTGGATTCTGTTCCGTGTTGGAGCCCCTTGGTGCTGGCAGCTCGGTCACACCTCCCAGCCCTTCGGTGGCAGTACCTGTTCTGGCTTTGTTCCCCTGGAATGACCCTCGGTGTTCCTGCTTCCCCCACCTTGGATTCACCCCGCCTGACTATTCCATTGCTTTTGAATGTAGCAGGAAGGCTGAGCGTGCCCGGACTGGATCGGGAACCTCCCAAACCTCGCGTGCAGCCAGCATCGGATGGGATTTGGGAAGAGCCCTGGAAGGTGGAACCGACCCTGGCGGGGGTGAGGAGAGCCCTGCACAGCATCCTGCCCTGCCAGGAGGAGGAGGAGGAGGAGGAGTTGGAGTTCTTGTTCTTGGCACTTGCAAAAATGTCATTGTACCGCTGGGGCCGAACCTTGTAAAATATGATGGGAGGAGCAGTCCTGTGCTATGGGTTTCTGTTTCTTCTGCAATCATGTCTAGTCTACAGAAGCACAAAGGTTTCATTAAATACTTACGCTCTGGATTCTGTTGTTATGATTTTTAGCTGATATCATCTTTCACTGAGCCTCAGTTTTCTGTAAGTCAAGACATTGCTCCTGTCAGTTCTCAGCCTTGAAGTGGAAGAAGTCGTGTCTGTGTTTTACTGTCAAGGAAAAATTTAAATGTTCTGTGTGAATCCTTAGCGTTCCAAAGTACATATTCCAATATTAACGTATTCCAAATGACTGCACAGTTCCTGGCAAGTTTGTGATTATCTCCACAGCACCCTGAGGCTGTGGAACGGTAGTCTTGGTGAGGCTACAACTTGTGACATTGTTTGATCCGTAGGTACAGCTCTGTTATTATTTATATTGTCTGGTAAATGGGGAAGAACAGGAAAAGGATGATAAATTTGGAAGTCTGTTTTTCCTTGGTGTTTTTCCTAGACACGTGTGATTTATACAGGCGCACACAGAGATCATTATTTGCTTTATGAAGACACGTTCTAAATGTATTACCTTCAGGCAGAATCTGCCCCCTTTCCCATTCCCGGGGGTCTCACAGAAGCTGGGCGCTGGCAGAACTGCAGGTTCCAGCGTGTCTGTGTTCCGTGCTAAGCACGGCGGGGAAGGAGAGCCTGGCGCCGCGCTGGGGATGAACCGAGCGTGCCGCGGCCGAGCCGTGCCGGGCCTGCGGGGACCGTGCCCGGAGCACGGCCGGTCCCGGGCGGCCGGCTCGGCTCCCTCCGCTCCGCTCCGCTCGGGCCGGGGCGGGCACTGCCCGGGACAGAGCCGCACTGCGGCACCCGCTCCGGGGCCGGACCCGATCCCCTTCCCGATCCCTTTCCCGTTCCCGATCCCTTTCCCGTTCCCGTTCCCATTCCCCATCCTGGCCCCGCCCCCTCTCCCTGCCGTTCCCGCCCCGTTCCCGCGCGGCGCTCAGGCCCCGCCTTTCAGGGGCGTGTCCGGGGGCGGGGCGGGGTCAGTCCGCCGCCGTCCCGGCGTGCCCCGCGCGGCGCTGCCCGGCGGCCGCGGTCGGGGCAAGATGGCGGCGGAGGCGGCGGACTCGTGGGGTGGGTGCGGCGGGGGCGCGGGGGCCGGGGCCGGGGGGGGGCCCCCCCCCCCCCCCCCCCCCCCCCCCCCNNNNGGGGCCGCGGGGCCCGGGGCCGGCGGGGGCCCCCCCGCGCCGCTCCCCGCCCCTCACCCGCGCTCCTCTCCCCACAGACGCCGACAGCTTCGAGGTGGTGGAGCCGGTGGCGAAGCGGCTGGTGCCGGGGGTGGCCGGGGACCGCTGGGCCGGCGAGGATGAGGAGGACGACGTGAAGGTGCGGCCGGGCGGGCCCCGCCGGGACCCCGCGGCGCGGCGGCTGCGGGGCGCCGACAGCTTCGAGGTGGTGGAGCCGGTGGCGAAGCGGCTGGTGCCGGGGGTGGCCGGGGACCGCTGGGCCGGCGAGGATGAGGAGGACGACGTGAAGGTGCGGCCGGGCGGGCCCCGCCGGGACCCCGCGGCGCGGCGGCTGCGGGG